TATATTTTTTAAAATATTCCATATATTACATTTTTGACATTATAGGAAAGACTTAATTTGAGTCTCACAACAGGATTGGTAAAGGAAACACTAAATAACTTTCCTTTTATTTTTACACTACTCGCCTGTATTTTCATCAATGACATCAGTCATAAAATATGACTTTCTGATCTACAAAACAAAAGAAAAATAAAAACCCTTCATAAATGATTTTGTCTTGCTGGAAATGAGACCAGGTCAGATACTGATTTCTGTTGCCTCTGCTAGTAGGAGTTTTGCCACTCACACAAAATATGCTTTCACTGGGCATGAAATAACTGGGTGAATGTTGTTTACTTTGCTTCAGATGGATATCTGTGTGAAACAGACTCTAGTTCAGGGGAGGGCAATAAAACTGCAGCAGTTTGCCAGGGTTAGCCCTGGCAGGCCACCGCTACTATATTTACCTGCACCTTCCACAGGTACCAGTGATTGCAGCTTCCGTTGACCACCGTTCCCAGCTAATGTGAGCAGCAAGAAGTGGCACGGACTAGAACACTACTTCCCACAGCTCCACTGCCTGGGAACAGCGATCCACAGCTAACAGGAGGTACAACTGCCAATACCTGCCAAGGCATAGGTAAATATAGCAGTAGCAGCCCATCTTGGCAGACCAGATCTGGCCCATGGGCCGGTATTTCCCCAACCCTGCTGTAGTTCAAACACTAGTTACTGGGCTATGTCTATGGCTTGTATTATGCAGATCAGACTAGATTATCATAATAAACAAAAGTTTATGTATATTTGAAATGAAAAAGCACATAGTCATGTTTCAAAAGGCCTTGCAACGGGAAATTATGGACCATCTAAATAGGAAATTTGACCTTAGTTCTGCAGTATGCACAGTGCCTCCTTGTGAGAAGTTCAAGACATTGCACTGTCAGGCCTTTTATAAGTTATTTTGCTTTAGATAAGTCATCCAAACCAGCTCCATATAATTTAACTTGTGATACAGTTTCTTCATCTGAAGATTTGCAGGAAGTAGGTGTTTTAAGTGTAAACTCGATAACTATTGAAAACTTTTGACATCTTAACAGAATAATAGAATATTAGAACTGGAAGGGAACTCGAGAGCTCATCAAGTCCAGTCCCCTGCCCTCCTGGCAGGACCAAACACCATCTAGATCAGTGGTCTCCAACCTTTTTACACCCAAGATCACTTTTTAAATCTCAGAACAGGTGAAGATCTACCGCCACGCCCCTTCCTTGAAGCCCCACCCTCTCTATTCTCCTCCTGTCCATCACTTGCTATCCCCAGCCCTTACTTACACACTCTGATAAACAGTTTATTTTTAAATTATGCGATGTATAAAATTAAAATCACGTGTTTATAGTTATGAAATAAATGGTCTGTTTTTTATTCATTGCTATTTAAATCTAAAATGAAGCATTTATAATTATACATGTTGTGAGGACAGAGTTCTGCAGCTGGGGGCAGAGGAGAGGGAACAGGGTGCTGGGAGGGCAGAGGACAGGGTTCTGCAGCAGGGGACAGAGTGCCAGTGGGGACAGGTTTCTGTAGCTGGGGACGGGGGGCCAGTGGAGACAGAGTTCGGGGAGTGGGGACGGGAATAAGGACAGAGTTCTGTAGCTGAGAACAGGGGAGTAGGGACAGAATTCTGTAGCTGGGGACAGCTACAGGGGAGTGGGGACAGAGTTCGGGTAGTGGGGACGGGAGTGGGGACAGCGTTCTGTAGCTGGGAACAGGGGAGTGGGGACAGAATTCTGTAGCTGGGGACAGGGGAGTTGGGACAGAGTTCTGTGGCTGGGGAGTGGGGGCTGGGGAGCGGGGAGTGGGGGCTGGTAAGTGGGATGCCAGTGGAGGCAGAGAATCCCCTGCATCTGCCGCCTCCTAGGATTCCTCCCTTCTCCCCCCCCCCCCAAGAGCGAAACAA